ATTACACAAGGGATTGTGACTACCGGAGTACAGAGTGGGGTTAGAGGTTGCCTGCTACAGCTTCTAAAAAAAAAGCAGGAAGGGAAACTTGATAGCAGATACCAGGTTCTGAAGCAGAAATTCTGAAAATGTGGCACTGGCACAAGCATGGGTATATTGACAAATGGAATATAAAGGAGCCCAGAAACAAACCATTGCACAGATGGAGCTTTGGAAAATGACAGAGGATAATAATCAGATATATGGGAAAGAAGGACTATTCAGCAAATGCAAGTAGAAAAAAATGATTATCCGTGAAAAATAAATTTCCTCCAGTAACCTGTTTGTTCTCCATGTTATTCTCTTATGTTTTTTGTCCCCTCTGTTTTTTATATTATTTTTGTTTCCCTTCCCTTATGTTCTGTCTCTTAAAGTCCTCATATGAGTGAAGTCATATGATATTTGTCTAGAAAAGGAAATATTTCTAACCCAAGACACAAAAGACATCTGATTATTAAAATAAATAACAATATGATTATATTCAAAATTAAGAACATTATTCATCAAAAAATACCTGAAAACAGATTTAAAGCGGAAACAAAATGATTGTATCAAGAATATATAAAGAACTCCTACAAGTCAGAAACTAAATAATCCAATAGGCAAAGGATATGAACAGAGATTTCTCCAAGAAAAGAAAAATAAATATATAAATAAATGACTAGGTATCGAGATCAGAAAATGCAAATGAACACTACCAAGGAAGTCTTTCATTCAACTGGCAAAAATCTCAAAATCGACAATACTAAGTAATAAAGAGACAATACTACTCAAAATATCTTGTTTACATTGCAGGTAGAGGTAGAAGTGAGGCAACCACTTTGGAAAACAGTTTGAAGTACAACCCTAAGGTTGAACATTACAACACTCATCATCAGGAGGGTGGATGTGAAAACATGGTACCATCACCTGATGAATATAATACACATACAGAACAATGGGCAATTTAGTATAACCAAATGCATAAAGTCAACCTCAAAAGATTACATGCCTTTATATAAGGCATATATACATATGCCTTTCTGGGAGAGAAGGAGGAGACCCACAAAGTTAGCTCTAAGTTACTGCCAAGAATCTAGTTTTGTTTTGGGAGTTGATTGGAGAATGTGTCATGAAATAAAGATGTTTTTTCCATGTAACTAGATTTTTTAAAAAAAGGTTCCAAGAAATGCATGACAGCTTTCCTTGATTTCCAACTTGCAGGTTAATCACACTTCCCCAACATTAAAAGCAAATATTACCCATACCAATTATTATGTAGACATATCTTAAAATATCTGTGTTTCTTTTTTTAAATTTTTTCAAGTTTTATTTATTTTTTGAAGAGACAGAGCATGTGGGGGGGAGGGGCAGAGAGAGGGAGACCTGGGGCGTCGGAAACAGGCTCAGGCTCCTGAGCCATCAAGCTATCCAAAACCCGGCAGCTGGGGCTGAACTCCGCAGGACCAGTCGTGACCTGGCTGAAGTGGGACGGCTTAACCGACTAGCCACTAAAATATCTGTGTTTCAACTGTAAGGTCATACCTCCTTATAAGAATGAAGACATTTTCTGTTTCATGATATTCCTAACATATATGTTCCTTCTCTGAAAAGTACTGACCATACAATGGTGCTAAATATGACCCCAAATGTTCATGTTAACCAGTCCTCAAATAGCCAGAGTAAAGCCTTGATCTCACTGTACCCTATATTCCTTCAAAATATTTACTATTATTGAATTTAATGATTCCTGGTGGAAGGGAAACAACCTGATAAGAATCCTCCATACCTGTATGTGCCAGAGGAAGCACTGATGGGGTGTAGGCACCACAGTCCTGTAATCGCTACTCCTTCCCATCTCAAGTACCGACAAGACAGGATAATTATGTGATCTGAAAGCACAATTTACTAATGCCAACTTTACCTGAAAGTACATCATTGAGATAAGGACAATAATGTTAATCAAAAATAAAAGATAAAATTCTAAACTTCCACCTAATACTCTGCTGAGCAAACATCATAATATTATCTTCTCTTGCTTTCTAGCATTTTCAGATTACCCAGTAATTCCCAAAGTGAATGAAGAAATGCCATGGCCAACCCAACCCTCAGCCCCACCACGGGCCCAACAACAAAACAATAAAACAAATAACCTCTCATGAGGTCCAAGGTAAACCAAGAATGCTATGTAAGCTTGGCTGGCATCCTCTATATCTAATTCCATCATTTCTAAATACTGGAAATGAAATGTAATTAATCAGAGAAGTGAGGAAATGTCTTAGTATTTTTCTTTCACTTGATCAATTACTCATTGTATACAAAAGTAGAAGACTTTCTTCTAGGTATAGTGCAAGTTAGAGGCAAGGCTGTGCAGTCCCATCTCTAAAAAAAAAAAAACAAAACCCTGAAATTGTTAAGGCAAACACATACACACTTGCAGCTGTTGGGCAATAAGAACTCATGACAGTAAGTGATGAAAATGGTGTGGATAAAAAAAGGAAACCATGACACAGAGTCAGAGCTCTACTCAGGTGGATCAGTTCATGAATGTTTCCTTGGCGAGATGGAAGTTGGGCCCTGAAGGCAGGTGATTTGAGAGAAATAGAGATGAGGTATAGTGTGATAATGCCTAGCAGGTGAAGAATAAGCCACACATACTCAAGGGCCTCTAAAGAAACCTATCTGCAAGAATAGAGACTTTAAAAAAAATCTTTAAATGTTTATTTGAGAAAAGAGAGAGAGAGAGAGAGAGAGAGGTGGGGAGTGAGTGTGAGTGAAGGAGGGCAGAGAGAGAGGGGAGACAGAATCCCAAGCAGGGTCTCCTCTGTTAGAGCAGAGCCTGATGTGTGGAGCTTGAACTCATGATGCTTGGGTAAAGTCAGGGTCAAGGCAAGCTGAACCAACTGAACCCGCATGACCCCAAACATTTTTTTTTAAATAGAGTTCTGTTGTATGTTTTGTGGAAGCCACTATTTCCATGTTCACGCCTGTGAAGATCTGCTAAAATACCCTCCGCTTCGTTGGACTTGCCTGGTCAGCTGGGAGAACATTCCTCAGTGGGCTATATGCCTGCAAAAGGGAAGCCTGAGGTTTCAAACTATCCCAGTGACTCAAGTGGGTGGAGCAGGCCTAAAGTAGAGGGTGAGACATCCCCGGCAGACCCACATGGGTATAAACTTTCAGTCCTTTCTCCGACCCAGCTTTGTCCCTAAGTGTGTAGTACAGATCCCGGGAGAACAGGGGTTTTATTTATCATACCCTCAGATGTGTTTGAAAAGGACAATGAAAAAAAGGTGACTGGAAAGCCAGGTTACAAGAGGGTCTTGAGGAGTCCAAACCAAAAGTTTGAATTTACCCATAAAACACCTGAGGATTTCTAAGCATCAGAGACCAATATAATGAAATTGATGTTGCATACTATATTTTATATATGCCTGCTACTAAATGTTCAGTGCATTACATTAACTGATTTAATCCGGTAATGACCCTTTAAAAAAGTAGTATATTACCCCATTTTACAGATGAAACTGAGGAACAATAAAGTTGAAACTGCCCCCCTGGCCCCCCCTCAAAAAATCACAAAGCTGGTGACATAACGGGTTTTCAAGAGCCCGGCCAGTTACTCAAGTCTCAGGCAGAGAACTATTGGGTTCATGCTTCTTAAGGGTGTTATGATTATTGTCCTTTTTAAAAAATATATAATTTATTGTCAAAATGGCTAACGTACGGGGTATACAGTGTGCTCTTGGTTTTGGGGGTAGATTCCCGTGATTCATCGCTTACATACAACACCCAGTGCTTAGTCCAACAAGTGCCTCTCAATGCCCATCACCCATTTTCCCCTATCGTCCACCTTTCCAACCCTCGGTTTGTTCTCTGTATTTAAGAGTTTCTTATGGTTTGCCTCCCTCCCTCTCTGTATATATTTCTTCTTCCCTTCCCCCACAGTCTTCTGTTAAGTTTCTCAAGATCCACATATGAG